ATAAACGTCATATTTATGTAAAGAGCGTTTCTACAATCAATAAACGTTTCACATGTACATGTTGGAATAACGATGTGAATCTTACGTTGTGTTTATGTGTTACTAAGTGCACAATGGATGCAAAAGAAGCTAAGCGACTTGAGATTCTAGAAAAGAATCTCGTCAAAAAATTTCGGACAGCGGAACAGGAGGAAAAGAAAGAACGAGCTAAGAAACTAGAGGAGATTACAAACTCCCATCCCAATACACATACAATACAAGACATCACAAAACCCCCAACACGAGTAACAAGTAAAACGCGAGATGAACCTCTGACAGTTGAAAAAGCTAGACAACTGGAGCAACTGCAAACCACTCTGCAAAACCAGTTCGGAGAAATACATGTTAGGGAAATGGAGGAACAACGTGTAAGGGAGAAAAAGTACGAGGCTATCACCAAAGCAATTAAAGAGAAAAAAGAAAAGGATGAGGTACTGGAGAAAAAAACAAAAGAAATGCTGAAAAAACAAAAATACAACCAGCTAATGAAACGCAACTTTAGACCATCAGTCTCTAGTACACCAGACCGAGTTGGTTATATTGGTTCCACTCAATACGATGATGATGAAGATGAAAAAATGGAAGTAGTTGCGGATCAATCAATAAAACAGTTGATGGATACCAAGGTCGTTAATCTCGGAGTGGTCGGAGCTAAATATCTACCACGAGCTAGTGACTCTCAATTCGGCATTTATTTCGATGAGATAGATGAGCAACTAAAAATCGGTTCTGAACCGATTGGGTTTGATTATGATGATATTATTGTAAACAACAAACGATTTAAAGGTACTGAAGGACTTTGGAAACTTTTAACGAAGAAAGGGTTTGTGCAGTCTAATGAATACACATCAAACGATTGGCAGACATATAAAGATATGCTTTTGATGACAAACTCTATCTTCCAGAAAAATGATCCTACTACACGACGTCCAAAATCTAGTTCAGGACAAAAATGGCGGAAAATGATAAAACCTATTTGGGACGAAGTTATCAAACCGACCGATCCGATTGAACAAGATATGGAGAGGGATCTATTGACGGGATCCGGTTTAAAACGCTACCATGACGGTCCGGTTGAATATCGCTACATCAAAGACCTCAACGAGCTCATCAACCGTCTGAATTTTATTTACGCAGAGGAGGTTGCAGGCAACAACAACTTTCACAACGAAAAACTATCTGTTGTTAAATTCATATCCGACCGTATGCAAGAACTGATTGACCAACCGAACGGGGTCAAATACGTAGTACGATGTTTGTCAGCCTTGCCTGAACGCGCGATAGAAGGCTCGGGATTGTTGAACGACATCATCAACAAATTACCTGTAGAACTACACGCCCCGCGTAACTGGAAATTCGATACGTACAACTTCTGCGGTCCAGGCACGAAGCTCGCTGAACGATTAGGTCGTGGTGACAAGGGTGTGAACCCTTTAGACGATGCGTGTAAACAGCACGACATATGGTACAGAGACCACCGGAAGCCCGAAGACAGATGGGTCGCAGATAAAGCGTTACAGAAAGCGGCGTGGGATAGAGTGACGTCTAGCGACGCGGACCTTAACGAGAGGAGCGTAGCCCTCGCGACCACGGGTGCGATGTGGTTGAAACGTAAACTAGGGATGGGTTTAGGTACATCCGCGTGTTCATATCCCTGTAGAAAAAATGGGTATATATAAGTGAACAGCATGGACAACGCTTGGCGAATCTTGTCCCGCGAACCGAAGGCACCGAACGGTGTACTCACCGACGAGCTCGTTATGAAGTTCGATAGGTACCTCAACTGGGACCTGTTGTCAGTTCACTATGATTTCTCCATCGATATGCTACGTATTTACTTTCATCGTGTTGACTGGGGTCCTATTCTGAAGAGGCAAAAATTCAGTGAGAGCTTCCTTCGTGAGATGGCACCAAACTTTGAGCATGCGTGGTTTGCTGTCAGCAAGCACCAAATACTTTCCGAGTCGTTCATACACGACTACGCAAACAAAGTCGATTGGGAATACATTAAAAAATTCCAGATCGTTTCACAACAGTTTTTGGATGATCACAAAGCTTACATGGAAGAGGAGTTCGATGAGTAAGCCTATATATATACCATGTAATTAAAAAATAAATAAAAATAATTAGCTTATATTTTTTTTTGTTCTTCTGTGTTATTAAGTCATTGTAGACAATGGAAGCACTGTACGAACGTTTCTCCACCGGAGTGGTGAAAAGCGAGTACCGAGCTGTTATGCCGATATCCGAGTTGAATTTCAACACACCAAACAATTACACAATCTTCAAACTCGATCATGGTGACACGTTTTACGACTCGGCAATTCAATATCACATCTGCGGCGAGGTAGTAAAAAAATCCGATGGTAAAACATATGATGCGACTGCCACTATAGCCCTGATTGACAATTTCATACCATACCTCTTTACAAGAATCGAACTGAAAAAACACAACACAACAATCGATGTGGTCGATCATCCGGGAATTACAAGCACTATCAAAAGTATTCTAAACTATCCGCAATCGATGAAACCCGCTTTGCAAAACTGTGGGTTCGCATCAAGATACTCGCTTGGTGGTGGCAAGTTCGAAGCGATTGGAACCTTAGCGCATCTCGGGTTAGGGTTCTTTGACCACATGCGATACCCCATGTACAAAGGTGGATTCGAGATTGTATTCACAAGAGCTGAAGATAACGATGCTCTATACCATTGGAAAGGAACCGGTACCGCAGCTACCGAACCTGAGGATGGCAAAGTGAAAATCACTTCCTTCGTTCTCAGAGTTCCCATAGTGGAATATACGTCAACTAGCAAAATCCAACTAATCGATGGTCTAACAAAACTTAGTGAAAAAGACGAGTTGGTCTACAACTATTATCAGTGGCAATGTATTGACAAAAAGGGTGTGTTCGGATCTACGTACACATTCGACATTACAAACGTTTATAGAAACGTATACAACCCTAGATTCGTAATCATGTGCTTTCAAACTAACCGCACGAATGATCAGAAAAAGAACCCAGCACAATTTGACAGCGAAAATATAAAAAACTTTGCAGTTAAAATAAATGGTCAACGTTACCCTCAAGAACTACAAAACGCTGCAATCCTCGAGGGACGTTGGAGAGTGATTTACGAGCAATTCATGAGATATCGTAAGGTGAATTTCGATGACAGCTCAATGATCATTGACCCAAGCGAGTTTATTTCACACTACCCACTGTGTGTTGTCGACACACATCTTCATCCGATGAATACAGACCGTTCTAGAAGTGACATTCAAATAGAATTCGATTTCACAAACGCAATCGCATCACCATCAGCCGATTCAGGCACTACCGCATATGTCATCGTAGTCTCTGAAAACGCGTTTGCCTACGACATATCAAGGAACATAATCAAGGTGATGTAACTGCACATTTATATAAGTGAGAGACATGGCACAATTGGTAGATTTGCTTAACGCGTGCCAAGCACCCAAATACACTAAAATCGAAGAGCTGCGACATGAGCATCCCTACAGAATAGTGGAGTTGCAGCGAGTCGTGACGAGATACGGTCCCTCGGTAACCGCTACTGTCGAAGAAGACCCTTGTGGCAATCTAAGAAAATTGTATCTCCCATGCAGGTACAACAACGTTTTGACAGACGTCATGATTAGAAACTACAACAACGGTGTCAATGAAAAACTTGCTTTGATACCCAAAAGCCATGGTCAGATCGAGTTTACAACAATAAACTAATAGAACAGAAATAAAGTACACAAAATAACTGAAAAACACAAAAAAAAATATTTTTTCGCCTCCGGGCATTGGCGTGGTCGAAACCACGTGCTGAGTCACTCAGAAGACACGTAAAAATCAACATGAAAACAATGAGTTTCAAATGGCGTGTCAGTATACATTGAGATCGAAATACTACATCTTCATACAAATCCTCTAGTGAAAACCGATGAGCACCGAATGATGCAATCGACGCCATTTTTGTGCAGTTGAGAACCTATTGGTGGTCCTATATAAAATGAGATTCAAAAGCTGTTGTCGTTTTCGATCTCAACCGTGAGATCCTATTATACGACAAGTATACCAAATGAGAACTGATTTAACATTGCAATCGGCGTCATTTTTGTGCAGTTGAGAACCTATTGGTGGTCCTATATAAAATGAGATTCAAAAGCTATTGTCGTTTTCGATCTCAGCCGTGAGATCCTATTATACGACAAGTATACCAAATGAGAACTGATTTAACGTTCTTTATATCTACACACAAAAAAAAATTGTCATCCAAATCAGAGGATCAGTCTCTGTCTGTAAGATCATCCTCTGTTTGTGACGTCATGGACACACCTCCCTTCCCGACCTACCTCAACCCACGTGGTCTACACTCCTCCCTCCTCTGTCCTAGAACGTGAGTTTCAAATGGCGTGTCAGTATACATTGAGATCGAAATACTGCATCTTCATACAAATCCTCTAGTGAAAACATGAGCACCGAATGATGCAATCGGCGCCATTTTTGTGCAGTTGAGAACCTATTGGTGGTCCTATATAAAATGAGATTCAAAAGTTGTTGTCGTTTCTGTAAAGTCGTCCAAATCAGAGGATCAGTCTCTGCCTGTAAGGTTAGGTTAGGTTAGGCAAAGTGAGGTTACCTACCTCAACCCACGTGGTCTACACTCCTCCCTCCTCTGTCCTAGAACCCCCAAAATGACTACTACTCCCATGGTCGGATTTTGTCGGATTTTGGATATGTTGTAAAGTAACATTTGTTGAGTCGAATACCACTTCAATGGCTTATGAAGCAATTTTGCCCAGGTCAAATCATAATTTTACTATACTACTATGTTTGAATTTAAATTAATTTTTAATTAACAGTTTGTGAAATATTTGATTATTGAACCATGTATCTCTCTTATATCATTACCATGCTATGTTATCTCAAATAGTTGTACGTTTGTAGACACTGGAGACTAGTAGTTGTGAACTGGCCTGCATTGTACGTCTTGTGCTCGTTTTGGTAAGAATGTGCGACACAACAAACCTCAAGGACTGGACCGACTTAGCCGCTGCCATGTCTTATGTCATGCATTCTTCGGAAACACAGGTAGTAATACTATCTCAAAATAATTAGGAAACAATCTTCATGGCTTAAAGATCATGGTATTTGTATTCATATAGGATTATACTGTTATAAAATGTTTGGTACCGTATGATTAGAAAAATTGAATAATTTTTTAGGTAATTAAATTCTCTACTAATTTGATTGTGATACTTATTGCTGAATTACATCTACCTAAAGTTAGAATTTAGACAAATTAAAAAAAAATTATTTTTCCCTTTTTATTAAGTGAATATTTTCTTAGCCGTAAGTCGTGTAGAAACAAAATATTAAACGTAATCATGGGAAATTTAACTGTCCACAACATTGACCATATCTTATTTTTCACTAAAGCGGTGTTTACACTGCCGTATTACCACGTCCATAGCAGGCATGTTCGCCACGCCAATGGACAGCCGTACGCAAATGTCGTGGCACCACGGTACCGTCCCACGGCCACAAGTAGCTGTGTAGTGTAAACAGTTTTCTGCTAGAAGCGTATTCATTAAAGGCGTGTTCATTTTTATTCACGGGTGCGGTATGGATTGTGCCAACAGATTAATTATTGAAGTTTGTGCTACAGTGATTGTTATTTTAGCTGAAGAAATAACACGACATTTAAGTGTTATTAAAAGATAGAAACCAAGCTGTAGCTTTCAATATTTATATTAAATAAACAAGGTTCACTTTGATACAGTTCAAGCATTAAAATTGTTTGACCTTCCATTAATTTTAAAGATTGCTTTGTTTTCACCAGTTCAATTGATTCGACTTGTGTCAATGTTATAGATTTTTTTTTGTTTTCACTATGGTACCATACTTAAAAACTAAGACGACAACCACTGACTTTAAAGAACAATAGTTAAACTCGTAGTACACACAATGACGAGACGGAAGACCATAACTCCTTTTTACCACGTCTAGCCACGCCTGCAACTGGCGTAGCAACCAAACACGGTTTGGTTAGTCCTAAAGGGCGTGGGGAACAGGCGTATTGGATTGCCACGCCTGTTGCTCTCACATCTCCACTGTTTACACGAGGCGTGGCCACGCTTCTCAAGAAAGTGAGAAAATTTCTCACCTACACGCCTGATTTTAGCCGTGGCCCCACGATAGTGTAAACACCGCTTAAAACGCACCAAAACTGAAATATTGGCAAAAATCTCAAGACATTGCCAATTTTTTTCTGATTATTTCAATATAACGGCGGGCGCGAAGGAAAAAATTGTGCATTTTGCATTTTAAACACCCACTTACCATCCTAGACAATTCATACAAAATTTCGAAGTAACGTACCTTTTGTAAGTTAATCCCTCCATTTTTGTCTCTATTTACCGAGCATAGACCTTAACAAAAAGATAAAGTAAACAAAAATTATAACACTTCAAGCATCCAGTTGTGTAATCTGTTTTAATTTATTCTTTTACTGTATGATGGTTATACCATCGCAGGCGAAGCCGCGGGTACTAGCTAGTAGCTTCATATGTTCATAACACTTTCTAAAAAAGATAATTTTTAATTATTTTTCAAACTAACGCAATCTGTGCTGACATTTTTATTGATACGTACTTGTCCAAGGCATTCTTTCTCTAGGTGACTTAAGAATAAACTTTTAAATTAATGAGAAACAAAATATATTAAAGAAAGGAATCCACACTTTTTATTTAGATCGCACAAACATAAACATGAACACAGCTTAATATAAAAAGTAAAACATATGATATTGAAACAATGTACATTTAAACAGTTCAGAGGCAAAATTGTCAATGTTCCAATACTCCCTTCACAATTTTGAAACTAAATGTCACAAAGTCCAATGGATGAGCTGTGTAAACCTTACTCGATTGAGAGGTTTAGTAAGGATGTCGGCAAGTTGATATGTTGTTGATACATGTTCAACATCAACAAGTCCTTCCAAGAATCTTTCTCTGACGAAGTAATACTTAACTTCCCAGGACACGAGCTCCTTCTGGTTTATCCACCAAAATCCAAGTTTTATTTTCATGAATAGATTTTATTTCATCGTCTATAGCAGCCTTCCAGTCAGATGCATCATACAACACCATTGCTTCTTGGAAACAACAGTAAGACCTTGGAAACATCTGTGTTTCTGATTGAACCAGCATCAGATCAAAATTTCCACTGCTCATCCAACTTGGTACATTTTTCACTCGTTTTCCTTGTCGTAACACGTCTTTTGTGGTTTCATTTTTAGACAATACCACACACTTGTCTTGCTCACCTCCCTCCGAAACAATAGGAGGTGCTGCTTTGTCAGTTTCCACTTCCGTGGTTTCATTTTGAGACAATACATAACACTGCTCACCTCCCTCCAAAACAATAGGAGGTGCCGCTTTGTCAGTTTCCACTTCTGTTGTTTTTGAATTAATGTCAAAATGAACTTCATCGCTCGAAGATGGCTCATTATCAGGAACAGTACTTCCTTGGGATATCTCAGGTTGGAAGATAACATCATTGCTTATAACAGTTTGCCGTTTGCTTGGTATACACACTCTGTATCCATCCCTCAAACCATGATACCCAACAAAGATTCCGTCAATGCTTTTAGCATTCCACTTTTTCCGCTTTTGCTTCGGCTGATGTACAAAGCAGTTAGTTCCAAATACTCTGAGGTGTTGCAGACCTGGAACACTCTTACCCGACCACAATTGCTGTGGTGATTTGCCTTCTACAGGACTTGGTCCTGTAAGATTAAGGAGGTAAACTGCAGTATTACAAGCCTCAGCCCAAAGAATCTTCGGTAAGACTTTCCTCTGAAGCATAGAGCGAGCAGACTCCACAATCGTTCGATTTTCCCTCTCAACAGAACCATTCTGTTCAGGGCAGTAGGGAGAAGTTGTATGTATCTTAATACCATACTCCTGAATGATTCTCGTAGTTTCCTTTGATAGGAATTCAGACCCGTTATCAAACAACATTTCTTTTATGATCTTTCCACGTTGTTTTGCTTCTGTGAGAAAGATGCGCATACAATCAGCTACTTCACTTTTATTCTTTATGAAAAATACTTGGCGATACTTACTGTAGTAGTCTTTAAACAATACAAAATAGCGGTTACCTCCAAGAGAAGTAACCTCCATAGGTCCGCAGACATCTGTACTGATCAGTTCAACAACCACCTCAGGACAAGTTGGACGAGAATTAAATGGACCACGATGAGATTTACCAAGAACACATCCATTACACAGACCCATGTCTCCAGTCACATTAATTCCATTCATCTTCAAAACTTGTTTAACATGGCGTTGATTCTGATGACCTAGCCGTTCGTGCCATAGCTGTAAACAATCTTCAATCTTTCTTACATGCAAGTTGTACAGTGGGTTGTATAGGACAAATAGCACGCATGTTAAGAAAATATAAATCCCCATGTAAATGTCCAGTCAATGTAACAATACCATCGAGGGTAAATTTACATCCAAGATTGTCAGCAGAAAAAACATGGTTCTTCTTCGCTGCCTTGCTGACTGACAACAGATGAGCTCTAGAATTAGGTACATACAAAACATTTTCTACAGTCGTTTGAATTAGCTCCTAACGTCCCGATTTGCAAAAGTTAACTCATTTCCGCTCATAAAACTATATTTTGCAGGCATATCCTTCTTGTTATCAGATGTAGATACCGTAGACTTCTTTTTAAGTGGACAATCAGGAACCTTATGCCCTTTTTGTTTACACTTAAAACAAAATATCTTAGTAACCTGCTTTTGATTCTGATTGCTCTGCCCTTGTTTTTCTGTTTTAACCCTTGTACCTGTGGGTTTTGAAACATATAAAGCAGTTTAAAGTTACTCCACGTTATCACACTGCTCTAAAGTGTGAAGCTTTTCAACTAGTGTTTTAATTGTTCTATCCTTAGATGGCATAGCTTCCCATACATTTCTGAATTAACGAAAGCTTGGCCCCAAAGTAGAAACAATTCTTGCAATTAAAACTCTGTCACTAAGCTTTGATTCTTTTTGTTTCTCAAGTGCATCATTTAATTCGGCAAAATGTTTTTGAAGCTTTGCAACATGGGTAGCTATGTCCTCGTTAGGATCCCGATCCCACCTAAAGAACTCTTCTAGCAAACGATCTAGCCTTTGTTCACTAGACTGTTCATACACAGATATTAAACAATCCCAAACTTCTTTAGAAGTCGAGCAAGTCAAAACCAGTGTAGATGGTTCATCCCCTAGAGATGACATCAGGTATAACATAGCAGAAGCATCTTTTCTGTCCCAATCTGCAATAGCATTTTGCTCAGATCCAGAGATGTTAGTAATAGGTCTTACTTCAGATCCCATTATGAAACTCAACAATCCTTGTTGTCTTAACAACAACTGAATAAGCATCTTCCATTAAGTCCAATTACTTGCACCCAAAAGTTTCTCTATACATAATTTTCATTAGTATTTGCCATAATGTCTAACCAATTTTATACTTGCTCCAAGTAAACAAAATTCAACAGTTACAATGGCAAAACAATGAAGAAAATATGATATAGCTTCTTGAAAAGTAATTTTAAAAATAAAACCTTATTTGTTGAATAGCCCATAACCTATTGATACGTACTTGTCCAAGGCATTCTTTCACTAAGTGACTTATAAGAATAAACTTTTAAATTAATGAGAAACAAAACATATTAAAGAAAGGAATCCACAATTTTTATTTAGATCACACAAACATAAACATGAACACAGCTTAATATAAAAAGTAAAACATATGATATTGAAACAATGTACATTTAAACAGTTCAGAGGCAAAATTGTCAATGTTCCAATAATTTTAGAGAATCTAATAGGCAATCCCCAGGGCTGAATTAATTTATTAATTATTTTCTCTGAATAATTTTATTGTTGTTGTGTGACGGTATTGTGTATTGTTAAATCAGATGTTACTGTATTTAACATTCAAACCTCCAGTTTTATGAAACTAACATAACTTTCTTTTGGTAGGGATGGGAGGAGGTTTGTGAACCAGGAGTGAGCTATTTGCTGTCCACCAGTCTCGCAAAGTCTGTGAGGGATCACCAACGGTCAACAATAGATCCGTTAAAAGATTCCGCACGCTTCAAGAAACTCATCTCAATGGCGTTAGACCGAGTGGTTTCCGGACTGACACCTCGCCCCAGGGAAGACGCTAGGGGTAAGTTTTTGCATTTTTAGATGATTAGTTCAGTGATAGTTTTATTGATTGTGGCTAAAAACCTCAAAATTATCATATCGATCTTTAGGTTGAAATTTAAATTCTTCTGCACACTTCTCCTGACCTTACTGCAGGCACGGACTTGGACCATTTGGAGCCTAGCTATATCTTGTAAAGGGGCTCTTTGCCAGGGGATTACTTTTTTGAATATGGTGTAATGATGAAGAAGGATTACTAAAGGACAGGAAGTGTAATGGCCCCAGTACAAGGCAAGAATGGGGAATGGAAGAGTGTACTTGGTGTCCTCAACTTCTTCCACCCTGATTCAGGTTGTCTCGCCTCGCCTAGTGTCGTGCATGCCTGCGCTTCGTCTGGAGTCGATTTTTTGGCACAAGTCAAAGGACCCGAAACTGCATGAGAGCCAAGCGCAAGGCGCCCCAGTTCACGCTCGCTTGGTCAATGCAAAAATCAATGCTGCAACTTCTACATCCAAGTTTGCCTCCATTTTAACTGTGAGAAAAAGTGAGAGTGAACATGGTTACCTCACATACGATATATGCCCAGCCTTCTAATAGTGGTGTAGACTCGTCGCAATGTGCAGCGCTACCTCCTGCTGACACCTCTTGTCGGCTGTCTGGCTCCAACTGCCCAACCTTCAAATAGTGGTGTAGCCTCGTCGCATGCAGCGCTGTCTCCTGCTAACCGCTCTCGTCAGCTGTCTGGCTTCAACTGCCCAGCCTAAAACAGAATCTCCTATTATAACCCGTCCACTATTGCACGGAGTGGAAGGGGAAGATTAAAAGGATGGCTGGGGGCTCAACACGCCCGTCCAGCCAGTGCGGGCTCAACACACCCATGCTCTAAGGTACTGGGGGCTCAACACGCCCATCCCGTACCAAGGAGAGGATACGTACTGGGGGCTCAGCCCGCTCAGCACGCCCGTCCTGTACCATAGAAAGGAATAAGTACTAGGGGCTCAACACGCCCGTCCTGTACCGGAGGGAAAGGTAAAGAAGGAGTACTGGGGGCTCAACACGCCCATGCACTATGGGAGAGGGAATAGTACTGGGGGCTCAATACGCCCATCCCGTACCGGAGAGAGGGAAAAGTACTGGGGGCTCAGCACGCCCGTCCTGTACCGGAGAAAGGAAAAAGTACTGGGGGCTCAACACGCCCGTCCTGTACCGGATGGAAAGGTAAAGAAGGAGTGCTGGGGGCTCAACACGCCCGTCCAGCCAGTGCGGGCTCAACACGCCCATGCACTAGGGGAAAGGGAATAGTACTGGGGGCTCAACGTCATCCCGTACCGGAGAGAGGGAAAAGTACTGGGGGCTCAACTCGCCCGTTCTGTACTAGAGGGATACCAGAGAAAAGTAGGGCATTGAATAGGACGGCCAAATGAGCGGCAAGAACAGGAGAGCAGAGTTTCAGAACAGCTGGGGGTATGCCATCTGGACCAGGGCCTTTGGATGGGTCGAGTTTGTCAAGCCTCGATTGAACCTCAGTGGCTGATATTTTGATCGAAGAAAGGGAGTCACCAGTAGCGAAATTGAAGACAGGAATTGGAACATCACTGACACCAAACACTGAAGAAAAGTGACCAGCAAAAAGGTTGCATTTTTCACTAGGGTCTTCAGCCACTCTATCATTTAGGGCCATCTTCGGTGGGAGACTGGATGCGCCTTTCAGGCTGGAGACATGCGACCAAAAGGATTTGATGTTATGAGGAATGCTGTCCTCAACCCTACCAATGTAACATGCATAGCAATTTCCAGCCAGAAGTTTGCATTGCCTCCGCAAACATCGAAACCGTTCTAGATCAATAGGGTTTCCAGAAGTCTTGAAATTCCTATGGGCAATATTCTTCACGATGACTAGATTTCTCAGGTCCTTGGAAAACCATTTAGGGAAACTAGATGTTTGAACTCTCTTCATGGGTGTATTCAGCGTTATGATGTGAGACAGCTGACTGCAAAAAAGGCTGAATGACTGTTCGCAGTCATGCAAGTCATCTAATACGGGCAATGTAAGAGCTTGTACTTGGTTAAATATTGATTCGTTGTTACATCTTCTAAAGTCATGAACAAGCTTTACGCAATTTTGACTCACCGGAACAGGGATGGCTGCAGTAATTTCTAAAGCAGGATGATGTCTATCTTCCGGAAGAAAAGAGTCCAGGGCCGGAGCAACTACAGTGTCAGGCATTGACGAGAGAACGAGGTCAAGTGTGACACCTCGATAGTTGTGGACATTGTTGAGCTGTTTTAGTTCATAGAAGTTCATAATTATTAACTTTAAAACGAAAATAGTGTCATGCTTACCACCGGGCCTTGTGAGAACGTCCCTGCGCCCATTTTTCTGTACAACTACAATGGTTGACATTGTAATAATTGTTAATAAATCAATAAATTACATTAACAAACATAAAATAATTTCATATAACTGTTATTATACCGTAACATAAGTGTAATATAAAACGTCAATTTCTATTTTTTTCATCTAGCTCATAAAAAAAGTAAAATTTGTCCCTCTTTCCCATTTTGCGTTCTTGCCCAACCGGCGCCCATTTTGCGCCCTTGTCTAACCTGCGCCCTTGGCAGGGGCCACCATCGCCACAGCCTAGGTACGGCCCTGATGGAACACGAAATAATACCCAGTAAATAAGTAGGGGACGAAAACTGTTTATTCCGATCAATATAATTTATTCCCTACGGCCACCAGAACAATCATAGTGAAATCCGCTTGCAGGTTGTGTAGAAAATTGCTAATGTGTGGGAAACATACAAACATTTTATCGTAGGTGATCAATATTACTCAAGGTAAGTGTTTGGCGTTAAGCAGTACCAAACTTTACCTTCTGGAGATGGCGATTACGAATACGTATAACTACAATATAAATTTGTATTTTCGAAATATGTGTTACTTTTCATGCAAAATGATCCAAAGGAAAGTGGTAATTGAGTTTGAGTTAGGGAATGGATGGAACGTGAAATAATACCGAAAGTAGGGGACGGAAACTGTTTGTTCCGATTAAAATCATTTATCCCACCAGAACAATCATGGGGAAATCCACTTGCAAGTTGTGCAGATAATTGCTAATGAGTTAGAAACATACAAACATTTTATCGTAGGTGATGATGAATCTTACTTAAGATCAGTGTTTGACGTTCAGTAGTACCAATCTTTACCTTCTCGAGATGGCGAGTATTCTGGATATGTAGAACTACAATTTATCAGTGAACTATACCCTAACTATTTTTTTCCAGTAGGCACACAGGGAAGTTGCTTGAGAAACTGTGACTTACAATTTCGGTTCTGGCGAAAAAGTGTGTGATTTGATGTTTAAAGGCAAATTTGAAACGGGTCATTATAGTGTTATACAACTTTATCATAATCCCCAGGGTGTGAAAAGTACAAAAATAAAAAGAAAAGGTGGAAACTGTGCGTAAAGAGACAACCAGAACGAAAAAAACCTGGAGAACCATGGAACTAAAAAGTAAATAACAGTGATGGTGTTAAATGTGCTCTGGAAGTTCCTAAAAAAACACCAACTCTTTTGAATTGGGGTCGTTAGATTGGATTTGACTGCAAATCTATGAATTTAGAGTCAGAACAGACTAACAGGGACACGGCACAAGTATTTTCTCCTTATGTTGTCACAAGGGGAAGGTAAAATTAGCTCCTTATCGACATTCTGAGTTCATAGAAAATCTTATCAACATGGACTACATAGGCTATAAAAAGTAAAAGAAACAAAAAAACTATTTGAATAATATAAAATCTTACAACTCTGCATTTGCAATGGTGAGTTTGTAAGACTCACTTAGATGAATCATCATTCTGGTAGTCTATATAATCCGGGGCTCCGTTTACCATCAGATTCGTTAATACCCTCTAACATTGAACCAAAGTATGCCCAACTTTATATTATAGCCTATACAACGTATATGCAGCTGTTACTCACAGAATGGGTCAAAGATCCGTGAAATGCGGCCAACTGATGATGCGTGATTTAAATTACTATCTTTATTCCGCACAACGAATGTAATGAACAAGAAAACAAAGAATGTAGGAATATACATTACCAAATTATCTCCATAGCATAAGTAGCTTATTAGGTTATCAGCATTGTGCACTTGTACAGCTCATACACCTTTTATTTTTCAAATGTAACTCGAATTAATTTAAAACATTCATTTGGTTAAACTAATATATTGGTTTGATTAACATAAATAGTTTATACAGGCCCAACTATCCGTTCTACTTCATATAAAAAAACAGTCCCTAAATAAAATACAAAGATTATTTGTATTTTATTTAGGGACTGCTTTTTTTATATGAAGTAGAACGGATAGTTGGGCCTGTATAAACTATTTATGTTAATCAAACCAATATATCAAAGATAAACAGTATTTGTTAATTATTATGTCTTTTATTTTATCTTTTTTCTTTCAATTTCTAATATTATTATTTCCTGATAGCGGAAATCTCTCACGCACGGGTAGTAGCCTATGTGAGAGGCATTTCATATTTAATGACTATGTTAGTAGGCCTATATTATTTTATTTATTTATATCATTGCATAACTATGAAATTTTTACTGGCAAAGCGTAACAATGTATTTACTTACTGAAATGATTTTGATTTGATTTTATTTGATTTGACAATATTCCCGTGGCGGAGCACGGGCGGCTAACTAGTTATTATTTAAACCATACTCGGACAGTTGAAAACTCGGACACTTGATATTTCAATATTTTTTAAAATAATTTAATAAACTCGGACAAATGAAAACTCGGACAGTTGATTTATCTAATTATTATTAGTTATTTATCAAAACTCGGACAAATGAAAACTCGGACAACTGATTTTTTAAATATTTTGTAATTTTTAACAAACTCGGACAGTTGAAAACTCGGACAAATGATGTGATCCTTTTACAACTAAAAACCGTAATATTTCAGCTATTTCTTATTCAATCTTTTTTAACTTCGTATTGTTTGATAAGTAATTAAAAATGCTAAATAAATGTGTTCTTGGCATTTTTTCATAAAACCAGTCATTTTCGAGTAATTTGAGTTTAAACAATTTAAATGGCCACCATTTCGAATTTTTAAGTTGAATCAAGATGAATTTTTTTCTAACATGGGGTCTCTTTTACCTTAACATACATACCCAGTGGCGTTGCTTGGTTAAATTCCAGGGGGGGGAGAAGCCTCAAATTTCCCAACTGCTTAACAAAGATTTCCCAACTATTTTTTTTTTTAGAAATCAATTTCTGTACTATTTTTAAAAATCTACCAATTATTATACTACAATGCAGTAACATTCAATTCAGTATTTATAAACTTGCATTAACAAAACATAGCTAGTTTTACATATATAGAAAATTACTCAATTTCAAATCCAAAAAAAAACTTTACAAATCATTGTGGTAGCAGACGTAGCAGTGTAAAATTTTAGGGATATAAAATAAGCCTTAGAGTACAAATTAGTATAAAATAAAAAAATATTTTATTACAAAATAATGAAATTAAAATATTTTTAGAAGTTAAGATCAACATTTTAACTTTGATAAAACTTACAACTAGGGTAGGCCTAAACAAGTTTGTAATGATGAAATATTAATACCAGTGTTGTGAATAACATTATTCTAGTCCAGAAAAGAATAAACCTAAAATAAGACTCGTATAAAATAAAAACGTTGAACTTGGTTGATGATAAACTTATACATACAATAAAAATGTTAACCTTCATCTTCATCAAACTCGAACTTAGACAAAAATCAAACATAGAGTGAGAGTCAAACATCAAATTTTAGGTTATATTTTGTCTACGTAGATCTGTTTCAGAGTGATTAGTTGATTCATTTTTGTAAATCCTTAATTAGGAATGACAAATAACTTGTGTAGATTTTTTAAATATATTCAGAGAATAAATATTCCATTTAGGCTATTAAAAAATAAAGAGTTTTAAAGGTAATCCTGATACACAAAACCTATCTTTAATGTAATTTTAATCTGCTTATTAGCAAGTACTGCGGTCAGTTAGCCTGCTCCGAATACCACAAAAAGGGTATAAAATATATTTCATGTGACTGACGTGAAAAATATTTTTGAATTTCTTGTAAACACTAACAAACAACATTTTTGAACAGAAGAGCTACATTGCTTGCACTATCAAAATTCAAACTCACAGTCTCGCAGACAAATCATTCAGAATCATCAACACGGGACAGGATCAGGGTAGCCAACATACGTCCAATAAGGATCAACATTTCTCGTAAACGAAATTCCAACAAGCTATACCGCTAATTGATTATTGATTTCTTAAAATAAGGCGTGTTTAGCCATGGTTTAGCCTTGTTTAATCAAAGTTAAATGAAATCAAAGAAGCGTCAAGTGTATCTGTCCAAGTCAAAGAAATTTTTATCTTTCATGGATTTTCACAAATATTTAAATTTTTCCTACAGTTACCTAACAATGTACATGTTCTCTCACTGATTTGAGAAAGCAAAGTGGCCAATTCGCTCATCAGTGAGACAATGTTAACATTGTCTCACTCTAATTACTTTGTCTCACTCCAGATTTGCAATGTGAAGGCACGAAATAGTGAGCGCGTAACATGCAGGCAACGTCGTATGCGCGCGAAATACGTTGGCAGCACTGGCTGTAAATCAGCTGGTCAGCTGTTGTACTGTTGTATTTGTCACTTCACATTAAATGTTATATTAAAAGTTCTTTTATGTGTAAAAATAGGTTATGTTTCTTCACCAATTTATTTGTTTTATGGTAACTGTAGGAAAAGTATAATGTGCAACTCGAGTTCAAAGTGCAATTGCCTCACTCGAGAGAAATCCTTACTCACGAGCCGTAGGCGAGTTGGCAAATTGGCCACTTTGCTTTCTCAAATCAGTGAGAGAACATGTACATTGTTAGGTAACTGTAGGAAAAATTTAAATATTTGTGAAAATCCATGAAAGATAAAAATTTCTTTGACTTGGACAGATACACTTGACGCTTCTTTGATTTCATTTAACTTTGATTAAACAAGGCTAAACCATGGCTAAACACGCCTTATTTTAAGAAATCAATAATCAATTAGCGGTATAGCTTGTTGGAATTTCGTTTACGAGAAATGTTGATCCTTATTGGACGTATGTTGGCTACCCTGATCCTGTCCCGTGTTGATGATTCTGAATGATTTGTCTGCGAGACTGTGAGTTTGAATTTTGATAGTGCAAGCAATGTAGCTCTTCTGTTCAAAAATGTTGTTTGTTAGTGTTTACAAGAAATTCAAAAATATTTTTTCACGTCAGTCACATGAAATATATTTTATACCCTTTTTGTGGTATTCGGAGCAGGCTAACTGACCGCAGTAGCTCACTTTTCTCACTAGTTGCACAAATAACTATTGTTTAGTTTAAAAATATATTTTTCTTGTATCTGACTTCCCAACTGTCCCAACTTGTGGCAAGGAAATTCCCAACTTTTCTCTTTCCCAGATTCTAGGGGGGGGAGGCTCCCCCCCCTACCCCCCCCAAGGCGACGCCCCTGTACATACCAGGTTTGATAAAGATCAGTTGAAAATTACAAAGGAAAATGTTTATATAAAAAACACAACATGGCGGATATCTGGTTAAAGAAGCGATTTTGGAAAAATGTTATTCTTGATTTTCTCTTTATTTTGACCCAAGAAATACTACTGTACGTAAATTATATCCCCACCTTAAATTATAAACGACCCTTACTCGACCTTCTTGTTACATTTGTATTTTACTTTTTGGCTCAGTATGTGCTGCAATGTCATATAGAATTGCATTTGATGTATAACCTTATTTTCATGATTTACCTAAACAGTTCCTCTTGCAACCACATCTGATAAAACCTTGCTTGGATCCAGATTACATCATTGCTTCTGTGCATTTTACGTTTACTTGCCCATCGGGTGCATCTCGGTGCAAATAAATTTATTTGGCTTCACATGGAATTGGTTTCTTGAGAACTATCGGGTACATCCTTGGTGCAGATAAATTTATTTGGCGTCACCTGGAAAAGGTTTCTTGAGAACTATGTCTCCAGAACTCCATGTTTAGAACCAAGAGTTAACATCAGGTATGATGAGAATCATGTTGTCTCCGACTGAAACTGGGATTAATTTTCTTTCTGTGTTCTGGGAATTTTTTGTGTCTGGATGTTTAAGGAAGTTACACAGTTTTCCCATGTTGTATTTATAGCAGATTTTCTTGAGCAAGGAGTGCACAAAGGTATGCTAACTGCTCTCTATTTAGGACTTAATTATGGATGTCTTGTGAGAACAAGAATTCGGCGTTTGCACATAATAGAAATACCCACAACCCAACAAGGACAATTACTTTTGTTCTCACCGCGTTATGGGTATTTTGGATTTGTTCAATCGCCGAAGAACGTTTGAACTTCGGCATTTGAGTAAATTGATTAAAATTATTAATTTAATTGATTAAATTTAAATTTACCCTTTAATCAGCCCTCAGAAACCATCATCACATTTTAAAATATTTTTATATCCAAAACACATTATTGTTAACAAAAAGCCTGTAACCTGTAATTTATCCCATAGTTGCAATAAAACTGTTGTCCAAAATGTTTAATATAGTATAAATTAATCGTAAAACCCCAACATTACATTATTTTCCAAAAGCCTGAATATTAGTGCAAGTGATGTTCCTTTATGAAGAAAGAAGACAGCTGGCTACAACAATGAACCAATGAACATTTGTGTGAAATTAAAAAATTCCTTCTCTTCTCTTTTGGACATGGCAGCTTCAACATCTTAAATTCAGTGAGGGTATAATTCTTATGTAAAACATTTAAATAAAGTCAAAGTGATTAAAAGTATTTAACACTAACAACAGAAGAGTTAGCCTTCATATTTATCTTATTTTTCTATTTTAAATTTATAACTTACTGCCACATCAAGATCGATCTATATTAAATTAATTTGCCACTGTGACTGTGAAGAACCAACCTGGTGACAACTCTCCATTTTATGAATATTAGGCTTAAGGCCTATTTTGCTTGGAGCGACTGTAGCGATAGTCGCACAGCGATTATCGCTCAACTACTATCGCTGTTGCTGCGACCGTTTTGCTTAGAGCGATTGATTTTCGGTCGCTGCGGGATTTTTCATTGTTAGTTGAATGTGCACTCACAATGGTGAAGTCATGAGTGCGTTTTGTATTTTTTTTAAATATCTCCTCAGTGAGGAGTTAGAAGAAGAGGCTCTACTTCAACCTAGTGGAAGTATCAATAGTCGATCGATAAAAAATACATAGTGATACGTAGGATTTGGGACGGATACGTATCACTAGATAGGATATAAATAGAAAACTGTAGTGATATCAATGAAAAAAATATATATTTATATCAATAAAAAAATGTGTGATATCAATAAGAGTACATAAATGTCGGAAAACAAAACCTGGAGTCTAAATAAAATACCCTCGCCGCAGCAAACCTGCAGACAAACTGTTTGAATAAGTAACTCTAGAAATAGTTTTCTACATCTCTTTTCACATGTCTTTTGGTGAAGGGAGTTCTCCACCTGTCTGAGATTTACTTTGCTCTTTTTGTTTTAGATAAGTGGACCTAGGCTCAAAACCATCAGGTCAATTGGTGTTTGCCGAAATTTGAACTCTGGGCCTCTAAGACAAAATAAGAAGTTTTAATCTCTAACCACTAGACTATTTGCTCTCCGCATATCAATATATCCTTTTTTTTTTGCAGCTGTTTCACCAATCATGGAAGGAGAAGAAAATATCTCCAGTGCTCATGTTCACTCAAGAAAAAACTCAAGTGATGACAATCTAGTTTCACTGAAACTGCTTCCAAGCAGAAAGGCTCTGCAGTCATACGGTTGAGTACTTGTTATTATTGTATATTGTATTGTTGGCAATTTCTTAAATTGTAAACTTGTTATCCTTTGAACTCCATGGGTAATGGTGTAATGTTGAAATTCAGTGATTTGATAATGCATATTTTTATACTTTTTTCAAACAAGTATTATATTTTTATTATGAACACAAAATTGTTTTTGAAAGAATTTGGTGGAATCACAGTTAGGATAAGAGAAGGTCCTCCTGCATTTATAAAGATAAGGTTGTAAAATTGTAAATGGCCGCCATTTTGAAAAAAAAATATCCGTCCAGGTTTTTTTTTTCAATTTGTTAATTGTTGCTGCAAATCCTAATTCAAAGCGCACAATCTTATACAGTGTTAAAGATAAAAATTAAAAATATAAAAAACAAAATGGTGTATAGCTTTTTAAAGCTAGTTATTTTTGGATAAAATACTTTTATTCTGCCTAATCTACTGTAGTTTTATCTTTTAATTAACAAAATTGTTAACTAAACGCCACCACCCGCCACGATCACCCGACGATGTGTATTGTCCGTGTGGTTGTGTTGCTTCTTGCTTCAGGCTAGGAGCTTCAAAAAAGGTGGGGACATAATTAACGTATTGATTCCTTGGGTCAAAATATAAAGAAAATCAAGAATAACATTTTTTCCAAAATCGCTCCGTTAACCAGATATCTGCCATTTTGTATTTTTCACATAAACATTTTTATCTTCAAATTTTTTCAACCGATCTCTATCAAACTTGGTATGTATGTTAAGGTAAAAGAGACCCATGTTATACAAAAAATTCATTATGATAAGAATAAGAATAAGAAAGTTTATTGCCATGGACCAAGTTGTACATAGGAATAGGCATTGTCAAATTATATTAAATAAAATATTACTAAACATGTTCATATCTATAGGTAACAAAGGTTGAGAATTCAACTCAATTTAAAATTTAAAAATGGTGACCATTTAAAATTTGTAAACTTAAACTCCTAAATAATGGCTGATTTTAGGAAAAAATGTCAAGGACACTTTTATTTAGCATTTATGATTCCATATTAAACTATATCAAGTTCAAAAAGATCAAATAAGAAATAGCTGAAATATTACAATTTTTAGTTGTAAAATGGAACAAACCTGACAAGCTACCCTTATTCTACCTGCCTTATTCTACCCCATTTTACAACTTAGAATCGTAATAATCAGCTATTTCTAATTTGATCTTTTAGCGAATTTCCCATATGGGGAATAAGCTATTACCGTAGTACTCATGGTAAGACCTGGACCCGAGACCGATTTACTTTTTTGTTTTGAGGTCCCTAGAGGACAAAAACACTATCCGTTCAAATTCATATATATGTGTCCGTTAGCACGATAACTAGAGCAAAAATGATCCGATTTTGATGAAATTTGGTTCAAACGTGTAAACCTACGTTTATTCTAACAAGTTCGTGAACCAGCATGACCGGACTATGGGAACAGGGGTTTATGGGGTAAAAATAGGGTTTTACCATTTTTGACCCTAAAAACACAAAATTTAACAATTTCTTTCCAAACCATTTCGTAGAGCTTAAAAAAAAACAAATAATTTAGTATATTGAAGTGTTATTATGCGCCTAATAGTTATAGAAAAAATTCCATAAAATTGTAATTTTTAAATTCCCACGTTATTCTTATGCTGACCTAGCTGGCCGACAGACGTCGTCCTGTCCTAATGTGGTTTTATGTCAAATGCTTGTTCATTTTCAAGATCCTGGTTGAAGTTCGTCCGCTACGCTCACTCACCTTTAGGTTGGAGCTCGTTCGCTGCGCTCACTTGCCTTCAGGTTAGCTCGTTCGCTACGCTAACTCGCCTCCAGGTTGAAGTTCGTTCGCTACGCTCACTCACCTTTTGGTTGCAAATTAGCTGTCGTCATAAATTAAAAAAAAGTCGTGCTGCACCCTGTTGGGAAACTTATTAACTTTTTAATGCTATTGAACATCACAGAATAAAATTGCTTAGTTGAACCAGCTGTTAGGATTCTTTAATTCCATTTAAATATGAGTACTCATAAGGTTAACATGGGAAACTCCAGAGCCACTGGGGCGGGAGCCCTTTTGACGGATCTGCACCAAACTTCACACAAACCATCCTTGAATAATGCTTAATAATGCCTTAAAGTCTCATTACAATCTGTCGAGCGGTTTTGGAGTCCATAAAGGACAAACAAACAAACATACATACAAACAAACATACATTGGATTTTATATACAGGGTGTTTTTTTTTAAACTTGCATCTTTATTTATGTAAAAACCGCAATAGATAGAAATATTCAGTTTGCGGGAATCATCTATTGACTTAGGGGGCACAATTTTTTTTAATTCAATGTTACATTCACATTCCCCCCCTTACCCCCCCTACCCCAACTTATTTTTTTAAATAGCAAGGTACCCCTTGTGACATATCAAATGAAAGAGCATGAAAAAAGAAAATGTTTGATGAAAAAAAATTGAAAATCGGTTTATAAACTTGTGAGATATTCCCCCCCTCCCCACCCGGAACTTAATTGTTTTTAATAGCAAGGTACCCCTTGTGACATATCAAATGAAAGAGCATGAAAAAAGAAAATGTTTGGTGAAAAAAATTGAAAATCGGCTCATGAATTTGTGAGATAATCCCCCCCCCCTTTTCCCCTACCCATAACTTTTTTTTAAATAGCAAGGTACCCCCCCCTTGTGACGTATCAAATGAAATATAAATTTCACCAAAAATTTTCTTTTTCATGCTCTTTTATTTGATATGTCACAAGGGGTACCTTGCGATAAAAAAAAATTAAGTTTCGGGGAGGGGGGAGGGATATATCTCGCAAATTTATGAACCGATTTTCAATTTTTTTCACCAAACATTTTCTTTTTTCATGCTCTTTTATTTGATATGTCACAAGGGGTACCTTGCTATTTAAAAAAAATAAGTTTGGGGAAGGGGGGAAAGGGGGGGGATGTGAATGTAACGTTGAATTCAAAAAAATTGGGCCCCCTACGTCAATAGATGATTCCCGCAAACTGCATATTTCTATCTATTGTGGTTTTTACATAAATAAAGATGCAAGTTTTTAAAAAAACACCCTGTATATAGATAAGGCAACTGTTGAGTTTGCTGGTTTATGAACATATTTTGATCAAATTTGGAAAATACATTCAATTCTTACTAAACTACAGTACTAATTAACATTTTACAACAAAAAATACTTTTTTACCCTCCCTGTTGCAGCAAACCTAAGTACTCGTTAAACTAATCTTCTTAATAAATAAAAGAAAGTTGTGTTAGTTACAGCGTTTATAACTAGAAAACTACTGAACCAATTGGCATGAAAATTTACAGGGATATTCCTTAGGTACTAGAATAACATAATAGCCTGTTTCCGTTTCAAAAACCCTTAAGGGAAGCGTCCTATGGCCCTTTGCAGTTTACATGTTAATCTTATGGAAGAATGTTTTATTTTGTTTACCATGCCATGTTTGTCATTTCTTGATTAAATTAAATTAAGAAAACGGCTGTTGTAATGATAACCTAATTTTTTTTAAAACAAACCTATGCATAACAAATGAGAGCTATCAAATAGGTTTCTATTCCATTTGTTTTTTACAAATATTTGTTGTCAAATGTAACTGAAGGCCAGTGAGCGCAGCGAACGAGCTCCAACCTAAAGGTGAGTGAGCGTAGCGAACGAACTTCAACCAGGACGTGATTGAGCCATGCGAACGAGCTCATCTTGAAAATGAACGAGCATTTGACATAAAACCACATTAGGACAGGACGACGTCTGTCGGGCCAGCTAGTTCTATTTAACCCTTTCAGTGCTATGAAACGATATATCGTTGTTTTAAAAAATCTCTAAGGGATATAGAGAGGAAGGTTATTTTAACAAAAAATAGCAAAACGGCCATTGGTGACCTGCATGTTCATAGGATACACTATCAACCACTTAGCTAAAAGATTCGCCCAATCCGATGATTTCGAGGTGTATGTCTAAACCAAGGATTATGAACACCTCACTATGCCCCAGTGGTTGTAGTATATCGCTACAAACACACAGGTCACCAATTATTTGCCACACAGGACGGGATTCGAACCCGAGCAGACGAATGCCACTGGCCAAGTGACACACGCCCTAGCCTTCTCGGCTATCTGTGCTTGAAGACTGGGGAGTCAAAACCCGGTATTTAAGCTGTCGCCACCGATTGCGAACAGATGGCGCTGCAGATGGTTGTTCAATGCGTTACTAGGTAGCAGCACCGGTTAGTCACGGACTATTTAGATGCAATCTTTTAGTTTAAACACAACAGTGATCATAAATGTGTTCCTGAGACTTTGCTGCAAAACATTAGTTTCCCTAAAATGGCTATATTACGATAACCTTGTCCAACTTAATCAAGGTTAAATTCAATATTACATTGTAAACTATATGTCTTTTGATTTGATGAGATTTTGGTTTCAAATAATGCTATCAGAACATAAAAATTTATAGGAAAACCAGGAAAACTACAACAAAAACTAAGTTTTATTTAATGTTTACTACAAATAGCGGGATTTATATTTCTTATATATTTTCTTGTTGTGTTATTATTCAAAATTAGCCTAATTAATAAAATAGTGACAACATGACAGTTAAAATTCAACAACAGGTAATGGATTTAAAAGGCAAACAAAAAAGTCTTACAAAATATGAATTATTGGCCTAGCACTGAAAGGGTTAAATAGGGAATAAATGGGATATTTTTGAGACATTTTAGTGCAAATCCAATCAGGCAAATGGAAATTCGCTAAGTCTGCAGGTTTGCTGCGGCAGGGGTATTTAAACTTGCTATTGTTTGATGGGGAATTAAAAATACTAAATAAAAGTGTTCTTGAAATATCTTCATAAAAACAGACATTTTTGAGAAATTTAAGTTTAAAAAGTTTAAATGGCCGCCATTTTGAAATTTTAAGTTGAATCGAGATTAAATTATTCCTCTAACATGGATCTCTTCTACTTTAATATACATACCAAGTTTCATAAAGATCGGTTGAAAAACTTCAAAGATATAAAAATGTTTATGTAAATATACAAAATGGCGGATATCTGGTTAACAAAGTGATTTTGAAAAACGTGTTTTTCTTGATTTTCTCTTTATTTTTACCCAAGGAATCACTACGTATATTATGTCCCCACCTTTTTTGAACACCCTGTATAACTTGCCTCATTATAAAAATATATTTCTTTTAATCTGATTTTACATTTACAGATAAACCAAGAAAAACAAATGAAGAAGATGGAGGAGAAGATCTTGAAGATTTGGTTTAATAGTTTTATCTGTTTTAATACTTTTAAGCATTTTAAAATCCCGCCAATGTTTTCATGAGCACTTCTTAATGTTGTCACTTAAATGGGAGCTGCAATCTTGTGATCTCTTTGTCTATAATGTGTTTTCTATAAGGACACATTATAGTGCTAAACATAATATTATTTGTGTTGTGGTAAAGTTTATTGTGTTTTAATGTGAAATGTGTTTGCTATTACACTCCCCAAATGCATAATAAGGCGAATAACCCTTTGAATTTAAGATATTTAAAAAAGACCTAGAAAACTATCCCTGAAACAATTTTTTTTTAAATTAATGTTGCCATGAATGCATTGCATGGAACAAAGTTTGAGGGCTGTCCCAAGTTCTTCATGAAGCTCCTAACCGTCGTACTTACACTAATACCATTCTAGCCCTGTAGGATGATTAATCTTGTCATAGTATTTAAAATTTCAAAAACATTGTGAGAGCAGAAAATTGATGCCCCCAACTAACTGCGTTCTGAGATTGGATATCTGTGTTCTCAGTCGTTAACGCTCTTAAAGTTTATTGCAAGTTGATAGACTCAAATGAAATAAAATAGTTGTTTCCAGTTAATAATCTTATTTATATTTCAATATATTAAACAAATTTAAATAACCATTTAACTCTTAACTTATCACCACGAAAAAAAGAAAAAACTTTTAAGAGCTAAACTTTTAATTACAATAAATAAAAATGTTAAGCTCGATACTGTTTTAATAAAGGTTCTAACAGAGTAGGCTTACGGAATACTGACTGACAGACCAGTTAAAATTGTCATCTTACTTTTAAAATGTTAAATGAGAAACTTTTCCCATACTATGTTTTTTTTTTGTTAACACTCTAGCGTCTTTAGCTAGATGACTTTGGTTTCGTTGTTCTTTAACCATTATTTTTAGATCATCAAAAGCGCGGCATCTTGACATTGCTACGTACAATGCCCCATGCTGAAAGCAGGGCTCTGGCATATAAAGACTAACTTTTTCAAGTGTCTGTCCTTGACTTTTTCCAGCCGAACTTTCAGTAATAATTTCAAGATTTAGGACTTTGTTATTCAACTCTTTACCATTAATCTGGTTCCATTAACCAGTCCTTTTTGTGGATTTAAATTCCTTAGTAAAATTACAATTACACCTTTTTAAAGGCATAATTTGTGAGGAGGTAAACCTCTTGGTGCTAAAATGTGAAGAAATTCACCAGGTACATGTAACTGGTCCCCCTCTTCTTGAATCAATCCGTCCACTGATTAGTAAACTCTCATTATTTAGTTGCTCAACTAACTATTTTATCTATATATAAAGCCAAAAGTACCCATGAACTTTTGAGAAACTACAAGTCACACCCCCCTAAACCATATACTTAAAATGTTCGTCATGGCGAGAAACCTTGCGCAAAACTATCCATTATTTCTTAAATGCCCTTTAAGGTCGTAATTCCTTTCTAAAGGGAACTTTCCATATACCTAATGTTAAAAATACCTCAGCTGTACTTATTTGTTTGTATTACTGTATTCCGTTTTGTTTATTTCAGCTTAACTTAAGCAATCAACAATTTTATTAATACTTATGAAGTCAAACGGGGTGAAGCCCGTAGGTAACAGCTAGTTAAAAGTAAATATTAAAATGACATATAGTCGGGGAAATATAGGATATGACCTTAAAAAAATTGCAAGAAAATGTTTTATGGTTTTATTTTGTAGAGCTGGGTTTGCAGAATGAGGTACTAAAAGTTGCCAAAAATCGGTGGACGAGAAAACCACTAAAATCACAATTTAAAATGGCGGCTTTTTCCAACATTGGACAAATTTAAAAAACATATTTCACATGCATTTGTTATGCACATTTTTCGAGATATTGACTTAGGACCACCGCCTAAAATTTATTGGGTGGTTAGTACTTCATTTTGATAGGGAACACGTTTTTTGGCCGCCATTTTGGATCCGCCATATTGGACATAGATAATTTTTTTTTCAATGTAATGATAGTGTTGTGACACATCATTACCAACTACATTTTTACACTGATTTCAATAACAAAATCCGTTTTTAAATATCTTTATTCATTTTGAAGATATGTTCAAACGAACACTCTCCACCATATATTTCTTATGGACGTTTCGTAGTTCGATAATTTTTTTAAAACTACTTTTCTTATATCTCCAGTTCTTATTAACGCTTGTAGTTCATTCTAGGCTTAAAATATTCAGTTATGTAAGGGCTTTCATTTGAGCTCTTGATCATTAAAATCAGACGAGTTAAACACCAGCTACAAACCTCAGAACAATATTAAATTTAACGTTTTAGAAATATATTTTTATTAAAAGATTTAAATAAAATCTTTTTAATACGGTTAATACGTCACCAAGTTCTTTCTGGTCTCAAATTACTTAGTAAATGTTTGGCTTTAATTTTATTAATCATTAAACAAAATCTGACAATTTTAAAATGAGTCATTGACCATCATTTAACATTAAAATGTATTTATTTTGAAATTTGTCTTTAGTTAAAGACGTATATCCCCAATTCTAAATAACTCCCAAAGCTCTTTATAGTCTTAAATGATTCGTAATATTATTGACTTTTATTTTAGCTATGAATTACTTTTTGGGTGTTATTAGGGTTTGGGATATATGTACTTAATTAAAGACGAATTTCAAAAAAGATATAATTTACTGTTAAGTGAAGATTCATGACTCATTTTAAATTACTCAGATTTTATTTAGTGATTAATAAAATTAAATAAAAACATTTACAGAGTAATTTAAGACCAGAAAGAACGTGGTGACGTATTAACAACCCGAGTTATAAATATTTTAATAAAAATATATTTCTAAAAAGTTAAATTTAATATTGTTTTGAGGTTCGTAGCTGGTGTTTAACTCGTCTGATTTTAATGATCAAGAGCTCAAATGAAAGCCCTTACATTACTGAATATTTTAAGCCTAGAACGAACTACAAGCGTTAATAAGAACTGGAGATATAAGAAAATTTTTTTTTTTTTAATTATCAAACTATGAAACGTCCATAAGAAATATATGGTGGAGAGTTTTAGTTTGAATATATCTTCAAAATGAATAAAGATAATTAAAAACGGATTTTGTTATTGAAATCAGTGTAAAAATGTAGTTGGTAATGATAAGTCACAACACTATCATTACATTGAAAAAAAATTATCTATGTCCAATATGGCGGATCTAAGATGGCGGCCAAAAACGCGTTCCCTATCAAAATGAAGTACTAACCACCCAATAAATACAGGCGGTGATCCCAAGTCAATATCTCAAAAAATGTGCATAACAAATGCATGTGAAATGTGATTTTTTTAAATTTGTCCAATGTTGGAAAAAGCCGCCATTTTAAATTGTGATTTTAGTGGTTTTCTCGTCCACCGATTTTTGGCAACTTTTAGTATGTCATTCTGCAAACCCAACACTACAAAATAAAACCATTAAACGTTTTCTTGCAATTTTTTTAACGATCCCTGTGTAAGTTTTTTTAGTTTGCTTGGACTAATAAGGGAAAGAGGTTATTTTTATGAAGACAGATGTTTTCAAAAGGAAATGAATCATATGTTTGATAAACTTAACTAAGTTTTCACTTATCTATATATTAATAGGCAAGCATATTTCTTTCAAACCTTTTTTCTCAGCTCGTGTGCATCGCAGGGAAAATCTATGCATACTGTTAGAAATATATATTCCTGTAGATGTGCAGAATCCCTTTAAAAATTAAAAAAGGCTCAAATATAAGCACAGAAAATGAATTTCAAAATTAAAAAAAAAACTGCATGGGCTTTATGTGTTGCCATGCTGGTGACGAAATAACAATGAAATATAAACACAGAAAATCAAAACAAATGGAAGAAATTAAAATCACATGTTTTATTTACAGCAAGGGGTGAAAATAGAGAAGCCTGTAACTTTGAATTACAAATAGACATTCAATCCCAAATGTTTAAGCTGTCGCCAGTTTTAATTAAATTCGTCGTAGTTGATGAACAGACTGCGCTGATCTAAATGACTAATTTCTGTTAAATACACAATGTTTTTTACCAAGTCAAACTTATGGAATGACAGCCATAGCAACTGTTATGACCCATCAACTTTGTCAGTAACAAAAAATTAGGTAGAAAATATAATTTTAGACACACATTCTGAGAATGGCTCACACAACTGCATGTTTTTTAATTAAAAAATGGTGACAGCTGGTCCATATAGATGGGAGATCTACTTCAGTATCCAATAGTCAATGCGTGTACATTACATATTTTTGGTCGAGTTTTCGACCACTGGATGACCACTAGTATTTAAAAATACATGTAAACTTTAAAGTCCAGTGGGGCGAAGCACATTAAACTGAGTGTGACAAAAATTATTCCGTGACTTCTGCAGATAATTCCCTTTAATTTGACACATCAATAATCAAAATCGATTAATAAATAAAAGAGTTTTGCTCTACACAAGAAATTCCTTACGGAATTAGAATAATAGATAGATGTTTCATAAACTTAACTAAATTTTCACTTATATTTAAAAATACATGGAAACTTTAAAGTCCAGTGGGGCGAAGCACATTGAACTGAGTCTGACAAAAATTATTCCATGACTTCTGCAGATAATTCCCTTTAATTTGACACATCAATCATCAAAATCGGTTAATAAATAAAAGAGTTTTGCTGTGAACAAGAAATTCCATTCGGAATTAGAATAATAGATTTTGGGACAAAGAATTTGCGCAAGGGGTGGAGGGCATTTGGAAATGATCTTGAATATTAGCATGATTTTTCCATGCTGATTAATGTTGTTGATGAGTCTTATTTTAAGCAGTGGCCAAAGAAAAGATAGAGGAATTTTACATGCGGATCGTGATGTGACAGGATGAGAGAGATTATTGAACTAAACTGTTAACTTTCACCTGTATTCAACGGGGATTTATATCCTTACTATAGGAATTCAATCCTACAGCTGTTCATACGCAGGTGCATACAATTTCTATGTTTTTTATACTATGAGGAGTTTAATCATCCGTAAGTCTTACTTGTCGATTAGGCTTACACAATGTGCCTTAATTACACTGAATGTCTTTGGAATCGGATTTCACTGTTATTGTAAGCTGATTCTATGAATCGATATATGTCAGTTAATAAATTGATGTCAATTGTTCATACTAATGGTCTGTTTCATCTTTCCTGCTATTGCTGGGTGGTTTAGTAATTCGAAGTGCTTGTTTATAAAATCGAACGTTGCCGGTTCAATCGTAAGACAAGACTGTAACTTGTTAAAGACTCAGGATTAATGTGGATTCCAAGGATGGATTATACGAGGGCTATCCAGAAAGTAGGTAGATTATGTCTTTGTCTGTATCCGCTAGGGGCGGGGCTAGTGCGACCATCTTGGTGTTAGTCCGTTATGCAGCTCAGTTGGCATCTAGCCATGCTAGTAAGAGGTTTCTGCTGTACTCCGTTGAGTTACAGTGACAGTTTAAAATGTCTATGGTAATTAAAAATGCCGCAAACTGTGAAGTGCGTGCAAAAAAAAAATTTTATGGACTCTTTGGTTACAGTTTGGTAACCAAGCTTTTCGGTTATGATCTCGTGCAACAAACTTCGCAAAATTTGTGGAAAACCCTTAGAGAGTTCTGTTATTGTGAGTTTTACGGACATCAGCATCGACATTTTCGACAAGTTCGGCAGTCACAATGCTGGGTCTTCTACTTTGCTCTTCCTCGTGAACGTTAGTTCGGCCATTTTTTAATTTGATGACCCCACCATCAGTAATAATGTTTTCCCCATAAACTTCACAAAGTTGCTGATAGATTTCTATCAATTTACAGTTTTATGCAGTCAAAAACTTCATAACTGCACGCACTTCACAGTTCGCGGCATTTTCAATTAACACAAGACATATCAAACTATCACAGTAACACGAACGGAGTACAGCAGAAACCTCTTACTAGCACGGCTAGATGCCGACTGAGCTGCATAACGAACTAACACCAAGATGGTCGCGCTAGCCCCGCCCCTAGCGGATGTATATTTTTCTCATAAACATAGGGACAGTGCAGTAAAGTCCATATAAGATTTAAAGTACTAAAAACGCTCTCCTGTAAAATATCAAAAGTGTGACGGAAGACGTTTTTGGCCTGTGGTCTTCAAATGTGAAAGTTTGTATGTTTATTTGTTAATGTTTGAATTTCAATCACACATTAACTACTGGTCGGATTGGGCTGAAATTTGGCATTATGATAGCTCAGATTCCCAATTAACATATTTAAGCGAATTCTTATCTAAAAGATCTTTTCGGGCTTCGCTCCAGTGGCTCTGGAATTCCCCATGTTAACCTTATGAGTATCATCATCATATATATTAAAACGTGACAGGGTTTTTCATTTCAAGATTCTGAATCAACCACTTGTCGGATTTTCTTGGTTTTAGTGTTAAAAGAAAGATAATGTTGAGAACTAGGGAATGTTGAAGCCATAATTTTAGTTTAGGGTTTCAGTTTTTTAGGAATTAAGTTTTAATTTTAAAAAAGTCTAGCAGCCGACGCTAACATTCTAGATTAGCTTTTGGTATAAAACCATTTGCTTAACGTAAAAGCTGTAATCATTCAGAGTTTGTGACACAAATTCAGCATTTGGAAATTGGATAGAAATGAAATGACATACGTAGGGTTGACTTATTTATACCATGTGTAATGTTTTAATAGTTGATACATTAATAATATTTGGTAAG